AGGACTCCCTTTCAAAGAAGCTTCTATGCAAAATGCTGTATTTCCTCCAATGAGCCTTGTTTTTCAACCTTGAAATCATCCACTTGAAAAGCAGACCCCAAAACCCAAGCTTTCAGAACTGGGTCCCAATATCACCACATAAATCACTCTCATTCTAAAAACTATACAATTAATGGGCCCCAAAGTTACTTTAATAGAGGGCTTCAAGGCAAGCCAAAGTTTCTTATAAAACCCCCATCCACCCTGCCAACTGCTCTGCACCTCTGTTCCACAGGAACCCATAACACTTCACCCTTCAAGTCCTGGGGACAACCTGAGCAGCATGGAGTGGCCAAGCAGAGCCCATTGGGATAGGGAAGGAATTTGGACACAGACGCAACAACAATGAACTTGTTCATTCCTCACAAATGTAGTCCAATGAGAGGCTGCATCAAACTTAAAAGCCAACCTTTCTGCTTCAGATTCCTGGATACAAAAGATTTTTAAAAATCTGTATAATTTGAACCAAAAAAATGATGGTTATTAAAAATAAACCAAGAAATACCCAGAAATGGGTTTCCTGTGAAAGTTTGGTAGAAGAGGGATTCCGATCTGATTAAACAATCTAGACACTACAGCCCCTCACATAAACACTCTTCAAACTCTTTTAAGTAGACAGCATTTCAAGGCAGAGGTCAAAATGAAAATATCTTTGAAAAGACAACAGTGACGTGGCTGGGAAACTGTGTTCATCTTGGCAAACATTTTTTCCACCCACCACAAGCTTGGACTTTCTGGGAAGGTCACTGCTTTTCTGGTCAGAAACATTCTTGAAGTCATCAGGATGGAGGAAGAGACACTCTGTGAAGGTGTGTTTCCGGTTCTGTACCTGGAGCTCAGGAGCCAAAGAGCACGATCATGCAGAACATCATGAAGACATTCCATAGGGCAATGAAGATTCGAAAATATCTGAGGCTCAGCAAGGACTCCCGGATGTTGTCACCTGTGCTGGGCTCCCTCGACTCCTCCTCAAAGCCTTGCATGTCCTTCTTTTTCAGCTTAAAGTTGAGCACCGCCCCGGCGTTCATCAACAGCATCCCAAACAGCAGGATGTCCCCGATCATTGTTGCTGCCGGAGCGTCCATCAGAACAGGAAGCCCTTTGTATGTTATTTGTCATTTTTCCCTTGCTGCTTTTGAGAATTTTTCTTTGTCTTTAATTTTTGGCAGTTTGATTTCTATGTGTCTCGGCGTGTTTCTCCTTGGGTTTATCCTGTATGGGACTCTCTGTGCTTCCTGGACTTGCATAGCTATTTCCTTTCCCATGTTAGGGAAGTTTTCGACTATAATCTCTTCAAATATTTTCTCGGGTCCTTTCTCTCTCTCTTTTCCTTCTGCAACCCCTATAATGTGAATGTTGTTGTGTTTAATGTTGTCCTAGATGTCTCTTAGGCTGTCTTCATTTCTTTTCATTCTTTTTTCTTTATTCTGTTCCACAGCAGTGAATTCCACCATTCGGTCTTCCAGGTCACTTATCCATTCTTCTGCCTCAGTTATTCTGCTATTGATTCCTTCCAGTGTAGTTTTAATTTCAGTTATTGTAGTGTTCATCTCTGTTTGTTTGTACTTTAATTCTTCTAGGTCTTTGTTAAACATTTCTTGCATCTTCTCGATCTTTGCCTCCATTCTTTGTCCAGGGTCTTGGATCATCTTCACTATCATTATTCTGAATTCTTTTTCTGGAAGGTTGCCTATCTCCATTTCATTTAGTTGTTTTTCTGGGGTTTTATCTTGTTCATTCATCTGGTACATAGCCCTCTGCTTTTTCATCTTGTCTATCTTCCTGTGAATGTAGTTTTTGTTCCACAGGCTGCAGGATTGTAGTTCTTCTTGCTTCTGCTGTCTGCCCTCTGGTGGATGAGGCTATCTAAGAGGATTGAGCATGTTTCCTGATGGGAGGGACTGATGGTGGGTGTTACTCTGGCGGGCAGAGCTCAGTAAAGCTTTAATCTGCTTGTCTGCTGATGGGTGGGGTTGGGTTCCCTCTCTGTTGGTTGTTTGGCCTGAGGTAACCCAACACTGGAGCCTAGCTGGGCTCTTTGGTGGGGCTAATGAGAGACGCTGGGAGGGCTCATGCCAAGGAGTAGTTCCCAGAACTTCTGCTGCCAGTGTCCTTGTCCTCACAGTGAGCCACAGCCACCAACCGCCTCTACAGGAGACCCTTCAACACTAGCAGGTAGGTCTGGTTCAGTCTCCCCTGGGGTCACTGCTCCTTCCCCTGGGCTCCTTCCCCCGCACATTACTTTGTGTGTGCCCTCCAAGAGTGGAGTCTCTGTTTCCCCCAGCCCTGTCAGAGTCCTGCAATCAATTCCCGCTAGGCTTCAAAGTCTGATTCTCTAGGAATTCCTCCTCCCATTGCCGGACAACCAGGTTGGAAATCCTGGCGTGGGGCTCAGAACCTTCACTCCAGTGGGTGGACTTCTGTGGTATAATTGTTCTGTGATTCACCCACCCACCAGTTATGGGATTTGATTTTACTGTGATTGCGCCCCTCCTATCTTCTCATTGTGGCTTCTCCTTTGTCTTTGGATGTGGGGTATCTTTTTTGGTGAGTTCCAGTGTCTTCCTGTGGATGATTGTTCAACAGTTAGTTGTGATTCTGGTGTTCTCGCAAGAGGGACTGAGAGCACGTCCTTCTACTCCGCCACCTTGGTTCTCCTCCAGGCTCAGGGTCTTCTAATGTGGGCCCCCAATTACTCAAGTCCTTGCTCTGGGTTGACCTCCATCCCTGAACAGACTGCCTTTGGAGACACAGAGCGGGTTCTTGCTTGGCGTCCAAACACTGATGCTGCCCCCACACCCACAGGGAGGACAGGGTGGGAGGGCGGATGCTGCTTCTTGGAACGGGTTTCATCCTAATAATTAGGGACTGTGGCACCAAGGTGGCACCGCACCAGGAAAGTCAAGGATGCAGTAGGATGTAATCTCCGCAGATGCCCCGCGAGCTCTGGTTAAGAGTGCAAACACTCCTCTGGGTGCAAGAGGAAAAGGGACAGGCTCTGGCTGCCAGCAGCCTGGCTGGAGAGAAGCTTCCAGCTCACAGGAACGGGCAGAAAATCTCCTCAGTCTTAAATGTATTTACTAGCCAGTTGTCAAGTTCATTTCCCATCCCTGAAACTTGCCTCCTTTGTCTTTCAGACCTAGATCGGAGGGGCAAATACATGGCACTTGTGCCAGTGCTCATATCTCCCGTGCCATGGCAGTTATTCTTTCCCAAAAAGTTCTCACAAGCTATCTTATACAGTGTACCAGACAGCCATGAAGAGTAACTGGCACGTGAGATAAAACCCATCTGCTACCCTTATCTAGTTTTACTTCCACTAGTACCTTGCTGGCAGATGCTATTTGAAATTTTCAGCATGGGGTCTAATTTCTTGCCCAGCCAAAAACACATATTCTTTAATTTCTGTTTCAGCTCTTTGCATTCCCTTTTGAACCAACCACAAATTTATTTCCCATGTGAGGAAACTCAAGGTCCAACGTCATTAGCAGAGCACAGATAACTATGGTTTCCCACAAGCAATGAAAAATCACAAACATCTCATGTGAGCTCTACTCACATAATAATACTAATCAATGTATTTAATAGTAATACTAATTAATTAATTAATACTAATTAATAGGTGCCAATAATACCCATATTTCACAAATATGAGAACTGAAGGTTAGAGAGAGCCAGGATTGAAATTCAGGAAAAGTCAAGACTCTGAATTGTTAGTCCCTACCCTGTACCAACTCTACTTTTCCAGATCCTTCTAAATGGTTCCAGGAATCCTCTTAGAAGTCCTTACTTTTCTTAATACATACTGTTTTAAAGACACATTAAGAATAATAGATTTATTTAGGAAAACACACACAGGAAAGCAAATACAGAAAAATATCAACAACAGGCCAATCTAGGTAAAAGCTCTGCTGGTGTTCATTGTACTATTCTTGCAATTTTTCTGAAGGTTTGAAATTTTTCAAAATGAAAAGTTAGAGACAAGAACGTAATAGACCTAATTTTCACTGAGTAAAGGGAGTTATTTCATGACAAAGTCTTAAAATTATAGATGTCTTAGAATCATATTAGGACAATTTATATGTTCATTAAAACATTTTAAAAGATTGAGGGGTAGGGAATAGGGAAAATAATTTAAATATGAGTGATTAAAAAAAGATGCAGCATAGGAAAATTCTTTCTATCCTTTTGCTTTTGAGAGTTAACCCCTCCGAGAAGAACAACTTGACCAATTGGAATAAAAGCAAATGACAGGAGCCAAGACACTCAGGTTAGATCTAGAGGAAAAGTTATACAGAAATCATAGAAGTTTAAAGGAGGAGGAGGTTTTTCAAATTGTCCAGTTAAACTTGTTCATTTTACTGATGATGCAATTCAGTACCAGAGACTTTAAATGAACTGCCCTCATTTCTGCAGTCTGATAGTAGCAGAACTACTTCATTTCCTCTGTACCCTAGTTTAGAGCTTGTATCATTCTAACTTCTTTAGTAAGTGATAAAAAGCCAACCCAAGGGCTTCCCTGGTAGCGCAGTGGTTGAGAGTCCGCCTGCCGATGCAGGGGACACAGGTTCGTGACCCGGTCCGGGAAGATCCCACATGCCGCAGAGCGGCTAGGCCCGTGAGCCATGGCCGCTGAGCCTGTGCGTCCGGAGCCTGTGCTCCGCAACGGGAGAGGCCACAACAGTGAGAGGCCTACGTACCACAAAAAGCTCATCTCTCAGTCATGCATTCTGCTGGACAGACTTCATTCTCAGGCCCTTATAAGATGGTTCTCCTGTAGTTCCAAGCTCATATCAGCACACACCAATCCTGTAGACAAGACTGCTTTTTCTACAGTACAAACAAAAATCCCAGAATTGAGTTTCACTGGCCCTGACGGTCCTGATTTGGGCCATGTGCACATTCTCAAATCAGTCACTATAGCCATGGGAGGTAGGAAGGGTGAAATGCATTTGACTTACTTAGTAAAGGTGTTATTCTCCACTCCTGGATCCAGGAATAGAGTCATCTTCACTGAAATCACAGACAGAGTGGGAGAGAGTTGAATCAATAAAAAAAGCTGGGGTACTGTTAACATAAGAAGTAGGTACAGATAATAAATGGCAAAATCTACAAATTCTACATCTATCCATAAATAACAGCTGAAAGAATAAAGGCTAAGAGAAGACAAAAACTGCCTTTTAAAAAACATTCAAAAGACTGTCTTGAGGGGAAAAAAAAAAAAGATTTATCAGTTCTCTTGTACTTCAGGAAAGAATTAGGACCAGTAGGCAGAGGAGACAAGGATACAGATTCAACTCAGTAGCTGTAAAGAACTTTCTAACAACTAGAGATATCCAGTAATTGAACAGGTGGCATCATGAAGTAATGAGTTTCCAAATAGTTGGAAGCCTTCAAACAGAAGGAGCTTCCAAATAGTTGGAAGCCTTCAAACAGAAGGAGGGTGACCGTCTGTCAGGAATGTTATAGAAGGGATCCCTATACTGGTGGGAGGTTGTTCTGAAATGCTTCTTAGATTCCTTCCAACTTAAGATTCTAAATTATTGAGAACAGCATGAATAAAAGATCCAAACCCATTCAACAACTAAATTATTCAACAAAAGGTAACAACTTTCAGCTATGAAGTTGAGGCAACCAGGCTTTGCGTGCCAGCCATCCAATTTTACAAAGAAAACAGAAACAGATCTTTAAAAATGATTATTTTTAAATTACAATGTTAAAATTAATTTTACTAGGAAACACACAACCCAGAAAACATTTTTAAAATTTCTCTTCCAAATTTGATCTATATGTTCACATAATTTCACTTCTGTCAGACTTATTCCCTAAGTTGAACAGAATTAAGTTCTGTATTACACTTTTTATCTTCCCAGCTCCTGAGATACAGGCTAAGTGGCTCTGCTACTGTCAGGCTGCACTTTTCCACTTAACATCATATTAAATGTGTTTATCACATTAATATAAAATCTTTATCATTACTATTTCAAGGCCTTATACATTTAACTGTGTTGGAATTCCATAGTTTACTCAGACATGTCCCTACTGGAGAGCATTTAGGCTTCTTTCAACTTTTCACTATAGTTTTGCCTTGAACACCAAACAGTTTTGTTTTTTTTTTAACCTCTTTTGAATTTTTTTCTAGGTCTGCAGTTAGTGGTCAAAGAGTATGAATATTTTTATGGTTCTGAATATGCACCACCAAAAGAATGCCATCAGTTTGCAGTGCTACTAGCAGTAATTGAGTTTAACCATTTCTCTAAGACTTGTCCACATTAGGTTTTATTCAACACTTTAAAAATTGCTAACATATATTAAGTAGTTCTTTACAATTGTTTACTTTTCCATTTTTTTCTCTACTAGTGAGTTTGAATAGCCTTCTCAACTCTTTTTTTTTTTTTTTTTTTCAGTGAAAACACAACTCTTAATCTACATTCCTACTATAAGGAGAGAACTCAGTAGTACATGTGGATGCAAAGAAGTCACACCAGAAAAAGAGAATAAAACAGTTAAGGTAAACAGATTAGGCTCAAGATGAAGTCACTCATGCTAAACACCACATCGACAAACCAAAACTTAACTAAATTTCGAGCCTCAGAGAAGGAAGGCCTAGGTCAACTGATCAGCCCTTGCCTGCCCAGCACAAGTTACCTCACCAGGCCCCAAGACTTCCTTTGCTCCATATAAGGGGATAACCCAGCATTAACCAATCAGCAAATGCCCAGTATAACTTTCCTGTTCCTGCTCACTTTGGTCTATAAAACCCTGTTAAGTTGTACATTTCTTTGGAGTTCTATCTGCTAGATTGGATGCTGCCTGATTCATGAATGGCTGAATAAAACCAATAAGCTCGGGCTTCCCTGGTGGCGCAGTGGTTGGGAGTCCGCCTGCCGATGCAGGGGACGTGGGTTCGTGCCCCGGTCCGGGAGGATCCCGCATGCTGCGGAGGGGCTGGGCCCGTGAGCCATGGCCGCTGAGCCTGCGCGTCCGAAAGAATAGAAAAAAAAGAAATTAAAAAAAAAACCCAATAAGATCTTTAAAATTTATTCAGTTGAATTTTGTTCTTTAACAAAAGAGAGAATAGAAATTAATTCCAAGAAGAAAGGTAAATTTTTCCTTCTCCCAATCAGAATGGACTCTCTGGGATGGCTAGAGAACATTGAGAAAGCATTGGTTCACCATGCTTCTGATATAGCTTCCTTAAAATAAGAACGATAAAGGAAGTGAGTGTTCTCCAGTAAGTTCCTTTTCCTTTAAATTCACATGTTGTCCAGAAACCATAGTTTTTCCTGGGATTTTACTTAAGATTTCAAACATCTCAAAAATTATTCCCCATACCAAAGGCTCTGCTAAATGGGAAGCAAACAGATTTTTTTAAAAAATGAGAGGCAAAAATTAAAGCACAGGAAGCATATAATAACATCATAGTATGTCAAAAATTAAACTGAAAAATGAAGTTTGGTGCAGTTTCTACAAATAACTGCATTTGTTTCTAATATTATATTACTAAATGAGCACAGATCACTCTGATTTGTTAACTTTTCTCTCTGGAAAGTTGTACACATAAGAGTGGAAGAACGTTAAAAATAAGATATTAAAGGTGTGAAAGTGAGAGAGTTCCCACAGCAACTGCACAAGACACCTTTGCACTACACAGGCCACTCCTGAGAAATGAGTCTGTTTTTTGCCACTCATTAATTCCTGGGAAAACACAAGGTAAATACACTAATAAAATCACAACTAAACTGCATACAATTTGAGACCAACACATTATAGTTGCCTAGGTAATAAGAATCTTATATTTCCCATGGGAAACGGGAAGTAATAGCTTTATATATTTATTATTCATAGTATGCAACAGAGGGAAAACAGTCCTCCCCTCTCATAAGACACACTTGAAAGTATGTTATCTGTGATGTAACCTGAATAATGTCTTTTGTATAAAATGCTACTACTGGGTTTTTTAATAAGAGGTGATTCTCTAAATCTTCAGGAAAGACTAAAGTCTCTATAAACAAATGAATAACAGTTCAAAGAGGAAACCCAAGCACTAAATAAAATAAGAAAATGAAGAGGTTCTGACATCAGTCCTAGGCAGGAATCAGAGGATTCTGGCCACCTTTTGGTGAAAGTTCTTGGCTTTTGCCAGGGAAAGCAGAATAGAACTCAAAAGAAAATTAAATGGAAGCTACATGAGAGGAGGGACCTAGACCTGGGCCTAATGCCTAGAGGTGTTCAATAAATATCTGCTAAATAACTGAATGAATGAATACACTTCTCAAAGAATCGAGAAGCCTGACTTTCCAAAGGGCCAGACAGTATGTTCTAAAGTACTTAAGTAAGACTTGTCCCCTAAGTTGAACAAAGCTAAGTTCTGTATTATTCTTTTTTTCCTGGCCAGATATATAAATTCTATGCCTTCTGAGTCCTCAAGTATAGAAGGAGTTTCTGTTCACCCTGTAACCTGATTGAAGAGTGCATAGCCGCTCGATTTACCAAGTTAACAGCTACAAGCCAAAAGAGGGTGAACTTCAAAATGTGCCTTAAGCTCCACAGAGTTGGCAGTAAAAAGCGGATATTCTCTGTGCCACATACATAATCCTAAAGTTTTGTTTTAAATAGATATATAAGGTCATTTTTTATAAGAAACACTACTAAGAGCCAAAGCAAAATTTCAGGAATGAAAATGTCATTAGAGGAAAGCAATGAGGTCCAACAGGGAATGCTTTTGGGTTCCCATGGTGACATTTGTTTCTGATTATATATATATATAATATTAAATACTTTCCTCTGGGGTTTTAAAGGCTTTTAAGAAAGGAAATAAACCAAATTCATTTTCTTTCTAATTTGTGATAACCAAAGGCATATTTTCTAGCTTCTACAATCCTGATTACCAAAACCAGGAAACAGGTCTTTAAAATAAGTCTTTACATTCCCGCCTATTTTAATTCCCTCTGGGCCTAGAGACATTTTAATAGAACATCTCAAATAATTCAGTCTTCTCCATACCTAGGCATATTTACTTTCCATTGAAAGATAGCCTGATATTTTATCTATACAATAGTCTATTATCTTTTCAAAATACAGATAAGAGATATACAAAATTTGATACATTATTTAAGTGCCCTCAACTTCCCTTTAACAAAATGGGTAGGGTAGTCTGATGTGTGTTTTTCAACACCACTAAGCAGTTAACTCAGTTCTGGCACTACCTATCTGGGGATAAGTTCACAGATCTTACAGGCCAAGGACTCAGTTCCGCAAGGCTGCCCCTCCCCCCCCCCCTCCCCCTCGCTCCAACTCCACCCACCACACACACGTCAGCTGCCAATTGCAACTCCGGGCTGTTACCTGTGCTTCTACCAGCCACCTATATATTGAAGGTTCCCACGATCCCCTCTATGGGTTCCACTAATTTGCTTAGAGCTGCTCACAGAACTCAGAGAAACGTTTACTTACTTTTAGGAGTTTATTATAAAGGATATTACAAAGAATACAGGGGCACAGTCAGATGAAAAGGTACATAGGGCGAGGTATGCAGTAAGGGGCGCAGAGCTTCCATGCCCTTTCTAAGCTGCCACTCTCCCCCCATCTCCACGTGTTCACCAACCCGGAAGTTCTCTAAAGCCCTATCCTTTGGGTTTCTATGGAGTCTTCATTACAAAGGCATGATTGACTAAACTACTGACCGTTGGTGGTCAATTCAACCTCCAGCCCCGCTCCCCTCCCAGGAGATCAGAGGGAGGACTGAAAGTTCCAATCCTCTAATCACAAGGCTGGTTCTTCTGACAACCAGGCCCCACCCTTAAGTTACCTAGGGGCTATCAAAAAGTTGCCTCATTAACATAACAAAAGACATCTTTATCCCTTTCACCACTTAGGAAACTCCAAGGTTTTAGGAGCTCTGTGCCAGGAATGGGGACAAAGGCTATATATATATATATATATATATATATATATATATGTTACTTATTATAAATTGCGATACCACAGGTAGCATGAAAAAGAATTATAAACTAAGATGTCTCCCTTACCACACACTGAGTGACATATTCTTACCCATTTATAGAAATATACACAAAGGCAGATACACCACCAAATGCTCCCAAGGCTCCAACAACCAACACACACCAGGGAAGCACTCAACAGAGAGAGACCTTCAGACCTTCAGAGAGACACAGAGAGGAGGCAAAAGGAACAAAATAGACGGAGAATGTGTATTACTTGTAAAGGATGGACAGCTACTCAGGACAGGCAGCCGGCATCACACCCAGGCACACTGCCAGTGCCAGGCAAGCACAGAGGGGCTCCGCTGGAGTGTGGAGCTCTGTGTCTGCGTGTGTTTCCCTCTCTCACACACCTACCAACACACGCTCTCCTCTCTCCCTCACAAACGCATACACCGCGTCTTTCACAGTCTCTCTCAACACAGTGCCTATCAGGCTCTCACACACACGAGCTCTCACACACACAGTCTCATGCACATACAATTTCTTATACACAATCTCTCACAGTCTTTACGTACGTAGTCTCTCATATACACACTCTCTCTCATAGTCTCTCACACACACACACACACACACAGAGCCTCTCTCTCACAATCTCTCACACACAGTCTGTAATGTACATAGTCACACACTCATATTCTCTCACAAACGCGTGCGCGCGAACACACACACACACACACACACACACACACACACACACACACACACACACACACACACACAGGCGCGCGCGCGCGCCCCGTTGGCCCCGCCTCTGCCCTGGCCCCTCCCTTCCCCGGGTGGGCTCCGCCCCGGCGGCCGAGGGCGGGGCGAGCCGGTGACAGGAGAGGCCGGGCCGGGCTGGTACTTGCGGCGCCCAGGCCGCCGGGGCGCGCTCCGTAGGCTCCTGTCAGCGGCGAGTGTGGCCGATCCCAGGGCGGCCCTCGGGCGGCGATCGCTGCCTCCGGCTTCGTGGCTTCGCCCCTCCGGCGGCCGTCCCGGGCGGCAGGAGTTGGCGGCGGGATGTGCTCGGCCGGGGAGCTGCTTGGCGGCGGCGGCGGCGGCGGCAGCGGCGGCGGCGGAGAGCGCGACGAGGACGGGGACGCGCTGGCGGAGCGGGCGGCGGCGGGGACCGAGCCGGATCCCGGGGCGAGCCCGCGGCGGCGCGACCGGCGGCCGCAGGAGGAGCAAGAGCAGGTGATCCAGGAGGGGCGGCGCGGTCCGGCCGGTTTCCCGAGCCCCACGCGGCGGCAGAGGGAAGTGGCCCGTAGGGCGGGCGGCGCCGGGGCTGTGCTCGGCGTGGGGCGCTGGTCGCCGCGGCGTTCTGGAAAGCGGCCCCGGAGAGCGTTTGGACGGAGCCCTCGGGGCCGGGCCGCGGGGTCGCGTGTGCGCTGCCAAGTGCCGGCCAGGAGTCGCGTGCCTGGCGGGGTCAGCGCCGCCCTTACCCACCCGTCGGGCAGAGGCTTCTCAGGCCGGAGCCCGGGGGTCTGTGGAAGTGCCCTCCATAACGGTCACTTATCTAAAAGCCTTACATGTAAACATTCTTCAACTTCGAGTTCATACCCCGGTGCTGTGTTTTAGGGGCCAGTGGCTCCCCTCTCGACTTCCATCTTGTCATTTCTGAACTCACACCTAGCGCCTCTTGTAAGGTGTGGGTGTATTTCTCTAGACATGCAATCAGTATCTGAAGACGTGTAGGAGCGAGTATTACAATAAGTGTCTTGACAGGGACTCTCCGAGAGCAAGTTTTTCACATGAACCCAAAGGGGATCTAAACTTCATTTAAAAACTGAAAAAGCTGAGTAATAATTAAGTTAAAAAAATAATGCCTAAGGCAGAAAGAAAAAAAACTGAAAAGGCAAGAAAATTGCTTTCAGTTGGTACCAAAGGGGAAAAATGTATGAGTCCAGCCATAATAAGGGAAAAGAGAAGTTGGGTAGTTTTTGAAACTCTCAGAATTTGCTTTCACTAAGTTAAGTATGTGATAATAGGCATTATAACACATCATTTATCTTCAAGATTAGGCAAGAAGTTTAATAAAAGAAATTGAATTATATGTGGGATGAATTTTCACCAGCAAATACAGTAATTAGACCTTCAAAAATAACCAAGATAAGCTAGCCTTCAGAATCACAGTAAAGACCAAGAATTAAAATGATTATTTGCCTTTATTACAGTGTATACTGTTGAGATCAGTTGATACCTGTCTCCTCTCATTATCCTTCTGCATCTGTTCTTTTTGTCACATTTCACAAACTCCAACATCATCAGTAAATGCATTAATAGATGAAGTATAAGTTCTAGTGTCTCAGTATTGTTTAGAAAACAGAAATAATTGTGTGGCACATACAAAATATGCCTTAGCATTAGGTTTGCTCACCATGTGGAAGTGTAATTTTTCATTCTTTTGACAATGTAAGAGATGGTGACTGAAGCAAATAATTGGTAGCTAGGAGATCTTCCTGACTGCTTTCCTGGTAGTTTTACCCCATTAACTGTACCATGACTCAGTAGCTAAAGGACTGTTTCCTCTTACTTTAGTTGTTCAACTGGAAAAGTGAAGAAAACAGCAACAGGAACTCCCTGGCGGGGAGCGGGGGGCGGATGTATTTGAGCTAAAGGACCCAAAGTAATTTTCAAGTGGTTTTAAGGGAGCATGTAAAATATTTCATTTAAGCTTCTGTGGATTTTTCATCATCAGTAGCTCTGGTCTTAACAAAATTGTTTATGGTACAACGACAAGGGATGAAACGAAAAAAGAATGAAACATATAGCCTAGAAAACAGATATACTTTGCATACCTGCTTCTTTCATTGCATGTCATGTAAATTTATTTTCCTGTACTCCTTTGAAAATGTTATCATTTATTTTTATCACATGATTTATTTATGTACTCTAAGTCCACATACACAATACTTGAAAATTACACCTGAGATATGCATTTTCTCCTATATCAGCACCAAAGAAGAACTTCTTATAAAGAAGTCAAAAATGAACAAAAAATTGATACAACCCAACTCATTGGTGTAAAAAGCAAGCTTTTGTGATAAGTCATTTCTTGGTAATAAGTGTAGCTTTTTTTTCAAGTCCTGAAAATGAAATTTAAAATTTGTATGCACTGCCTTGCAATGATGGTAGAGATATAAAGATATTTGAGGGAGAGGTAAATGAAATTAACAACTATAAAACATAGTCTAAGGATTTGTTTTATTTTGTTTTTCTTTAGGCAGATGGTGTGTGTTTGTTTTGTTGTTTTAAGGACACATGGACTCCAAATTACAAACAGAGTATTTTTGAAAACTTGGTTTGTAAACTTGTTGCTTAGAACTTAAAGTGAGCTTTTCCATAGAAACAGTGATATAAACAGAAACAGAACCAAAACTAATTAGCTGGAAATGAGACAGAGGCCATCTCCCTGCTGTCCTTTCTGCTTAGCACACTCACTTAATGTTCCAGAATCTGAGTAGCGTCGCGGATGTTAAGAGAGAATTGGTAGTAGTGGCAGCGGCAGCAGTAATAGCAGAGGCTCCTTTATATCTGGATCAGGGTTACAGGTGGTGTGCTCTTGAATGCAACAGCTCCAGAAGGCACCTGACTTTTGCTCCTCCAGCTCTTTCAAAGATTTTTGTCAGCCCCTAATTTGCTGTATTAAATCCCTTTCTATTTCTAGTTCCTTCACAGTTTGCCCTTAGCTGATCATTTGATGAAGGAGCTTTCTTCCTTTGGCTATTCCCCAGCCTAAAGTCTCCTCTACATATATCCTTACCTTCACTGATTTTTCTTTCTATTCCTGTCTGAAAGACTCATGCCCTTCCCTCTACCTGGAAGCCTCTTTCATCAGCTTTGACTTTACAAAACGTATCTTTGGCTCATTGTTATTATGATACCAGATCAAAATGGTATTTATTTCCTGTAATACCAAAATACCAGTATTTATATAGGTGTTTTCTTAATAACTAAGATAAGCATCATTTTTTTTTTTTTTTTTTACTATTTATCCTTAAGTACTACTCCATCTGAGAGAAAACTAAGGTTCCTCTGTCTTTCTGGCCTAAATCTTTCCAGGTACATGATTGACAAGGCAGCCTCTATCCTAGGAAAGGAGGACTTGATAGACTGGACCAGGTTCCCTAGATGAAAGAACTGTCAAGTCTGAAGTAGGAGTTTGGCCTCTAAGAAAGATAAGCCAGGGAGAGAGGCAAAACGCCCAAGGAACTGAAGGGACAGGGCATAGCTGTCCTACATGTGTGTTGGTAATTGTGTGCATGAGAGGTGATCCAAGTATGTTCATGACTGTGAATGCCAGGTCCCTTTAGGTAAGAGAGTCTCTGCCCTGCTGCATACCTGGAAGGTTAAATATCTCCAGTCCTTTTATTACATTTATGTATGTATGTGGCATTTTACAACCTGAATAACCTAAGATGGCCCTGCCTTAGGTGGGATAGAAAGGTCCCACCGTCCTTGGATTGACTTTAGAATCATTATTTTTAGCTTTAAGGTCTTTCTTTATGATTATAAAAGTAATGTATACTTCGGAAAATGTAGAACTATAAAACAATCTAGGGGGCTTCCCTGGTGGTGCAGTGGTTAAGAGTATGCCTGCCGATGCAGGAGACACGGGTTTGTGCCCCAGTCCGGGAAGATCCCACATGCCGCGGAGCGGCT